TGAATACCTGATTCAGTCTGATCTCAGAGTCTAAGCAGGATGGGGCTGGTTAGTACTGGGATGGGAGACCACTGGGAATACCAAAGAACTGCAGTGGGGTGGTAGTCTTTGTGGCTCTGTTTACTAATTTTGGATAAAATTACCTCTATGCTGTTACTGCTGATTCTTTAGTATCTGGCAATAGTACAGTATAGTATAGTATAGTAGTAGTAGGCTATAGTATTCACAAGTATTCAATGAACTACAATGAATACTCGTGAAGGGACCATGTTGTTGGTTGCTTCATTGCTATGGCTTTTATCACAACCCCAGAAATAGCTACTATTTGCTATTTGCACAGAGAACAGTTCACTTTTGTCCAAATGTAAAACAGTATTCAAATGCTATTCAGCTCTTCCAAGTTAAACTGTCTGAGAGGTAAACAAGCCCTTATGCGGTTGATAGAGTGATGCAAAAAGGCAGTATAAAAGCTATATACGTGTGTATATGTGTGGTGAAAGTGTCTGTGAGAGCTGCAGACACAAGCTGAAGAATAGGAGCCAAACATTTCCATTTACCAGGCGCAAGTGTGTTTAAACATATGCCGCTGGAGTGTGCCTTTTACTCATTAGCACAACAATGTTGCCACCTAGTTTGCTTCAGTGAGTACAAATGAGCTGCTGTAGCCAAGCGGAGACAGATCGACAGGGAGAGCACTGCAAAAAAGGAAAAAAGAACATCTAGGCTGGTTAAAATTGTGTGTATTCACAATAAGAATCTTAATTTTAGACATTTTGAGTGGTTTGAATTAATTACACTTCATTTGGCAAATAAATCCACTTGTTTTTACTTTCAATATTTAGTTTCTTGCCTCAAGAAACAAAGCTACATTATGGGCTAAGACAATTACAGCTACCCATTGGCAGGTTTATTATCAGATTTAAAGCCAAATTATCTTGAAACCAATAATGTTAATGAATGAGTTGAACTGGTCTGTGGTACTCACACTGTCAAACACAGTACCACCTCAGAAATCTTCAGAGTATCACCAGATACAAAGCAGGTCTATAAATCTGCACGTCGATTTGTTTGGAAGAAAATCCATTTGTTTGTTTCCTCCAGTTTTTTGCATTGGAAATTGGATTGGAACTGTCGGAAACAGTCACAGGGAGCACAATTACAAAGGAGATGCGCTCTCTCGTGACTGCTTTGAAATCAGTGACGTCAAATTAAATGTGTAATCAAAAACAAATCACATCTTTTGCCCGACATCAGCTACATGTTTAATGCAGCCACAACACTGTTAGTTTGTTTTATCTCATTGATTAAACCCATTTAACCCATTGGCCTCTGGGGGAAATGTGATCACTGCTCAATATAATGCTGCTTTTGTACTACTATTTTCTGTAGTTTGGAGATATTTTGTAGTGGAGAGAGAGGAAAATCACCCAGCCCTAATACCAGGTCTAAATTAGGACTAAACCAGGTGTAAGTAGGACTATGGTCAGTACAAAAGCTACGAAAAAAGGACTGAAAGGAGAACAAAATGTGATAATATTTCAACTCTAAAAGTAAGCAAACATTAAAACAGTTTTTGTACTATCAGAAGTAACCCCTGCACCACACCTTGAGAAGCATTAATCAAGGTCGTAGTAGGAAAGCGTAATCTAGTCACAAATACTCCAATACTCTGATACAGATCTGTGTATGTATTTTTTGCAGTGTGGGAAGTGGGAGTGAATGGCAGCTCCAGCTTTGTGCGAGCTCAGAGGAAATCAGAACAGAAGATAGAGAGACTTCCCTGGTGTTGTGCAGTGGGCCGTATCACACTGATATTAGCAACAAATGAAAATACTCACCTCACAGTGGCTCCCTCTTCAAAGAAACACTGTGCAGTCATTTGATGATCATGCACTGTAAAATATATCTATACATGATTCAGAGGTACTCTGTGTCACCTCTGTTTCCATGGAGATGTTATTACTTTGCCTGGAATGTTACACAATATGGCATAAACTTTTATCTTCAAGGAGAGATACCAGACCAAGTTACAAGTCAGTTCTCTGAAGAGATGAACCCACTCAAAGTGAGATATTTCAAGGTATTTTTAAGGAATAAAAATGACTGTAATATAATAGGGCCTTCGTCAGCTTGTGACGCACGTCCCTAAAAATAAATGAAAGATATAATTATATTGCCGTACTGTGAAACATCGAAAATTATTTTTAAAAATGCATTGCACGCTCACATGGCCAATGTCCAAAACCTCTTACTCTGAGATTACGTTTTGGCAAAAAGCCTTCATCACATAGTTTTTTTTTATATTGTTGGACCAGTTCACATTAACTGTGCTATGAAACATATCAGGGAAACATTCAAAACATTAACATCTCACTTAAACTCAAGTCCAAAGATTCAAAGACTTTGGAAATTTGGGCCTAAACCTGGAACTAAACCTAAACCTTCCTAGACCAGCCTAAACCGGGACTAGACCAGTACTAAATCAAGATTAGTGTCACATCTGGACAAACCTGGACAAGTGACATGAAGATTAATATTCTGAATTAAAGTAACTCATGTGGATAATCATTTTTACAGTGTGTTCTAGTCTAGTTTTGTAATGTTTGTTATAATAGGCTTTTACAGCTCTACCAAAACATAAGACTCACCAGAGCCTTCGATCAGTGGAGATTAGTAAAGCGGACAATGCATGTGTTTTTTAGTGTGAAGTTAATACGTAAATATTTCACAAGGCTCTAACTTGACACAATAATGTGCTTTATTTTCCACCAGGCTAACTTGTAATATATATTCATGAGTCTAATCATGTCGTAGAGAAAAACGTATTTAAATTCAGAGTGCAAATCTTGCATTTAATGGGACATTACCTTAGAAGCCGTGTCGTCATGCCCCATAACTCCACCCCTCACTGCAAACTCTTTATCAGAAATGTGAAACTGAACCGTCTAAATAGGCTTTTCTACCTTGTGTAGGTTTACTGGTAAATGTGACGTCAAAATTTTGCAGCAAAATATAGGGTTTATAAAAAATTCCAATCAAATAGAAGTTGTTATTGTTTTGTTTTTTTTTGTTTTTTTTCCCCAAAAAACTGTTCTTAGTAAAATGGAGAGAACCCACAATTTATTCAGCATGGTATTAAACTTATTTCCATGGGGAAAAAAGCATATTAAACCACTTTGCCAAGTTACTGGCAAGCTACATGGAGTTCTTTTTGAAGTTGAGCAAAAAAAAAAAACTATAAATAAATAAATAAAAAATGACTGAATCAATGTATGTTGGCAAGTTTAAGAAATATCCCAGGCAATGCAATAACATCTCAGTGAAGACAAGCATTTGGCAAACACTCCATCAGAAAAGTTACATAATGCCCCTTTTTATGCCTATGATGCTATAATCAATGGCCTTTTTCCAAACTGATGACATCCCTTTATGAAATGGTCTTGATCATTAACTACAAATAATCTGATAATCTTCCTTTCAAAGGTCCAATATTACACAAAACTGTCCCTTGATATTTATGCCCTGCTAAAATGTTCTTACATCCTCAAAACACATCTGGAGTTGGGTTTTGTTTCATTCACACATGTTTGAGTAACCCATTATTAGTAGTATGTCTCCATTTCCAAAGCTTAAAATGCTCTGTTCCACCTTGTGACATCATGAAGTGGTAGTTTTCAGTTTAGTATTTCCTTTTACCGTTAGTTCAGTAGAGATTGGCAATTCTAGGGCTGAAATCATCCAGATGATTCTAGTGAAGGTGGAGCTCCATACACATATGGAGCATTTCCTGTATATTGTGCATTGTTTATTGTGATGTGCATTACATCACAAGGTGGAACAGAGTGTTTTCTGTTAGAAACTCAGCTGAAATGTGCAGAGTTTGTGTGTTAAATATTTGTGAATGAAACAAAACACAACTCCAGGTATGTTTTGTTTCATTCCCACAAGAGGAAACAACATTATAACTTAGATCAGAAAAAAGTACAGTATAGGACCTTTAATTTTAATGTCCAAATTGTAAATTGTAGAGCTTGATTTAATGAGGACAAACCAACTAAAGCCTTGACAATGTATGTTATATTCATTCAGCCTGAATTGTCCTAAATAGACAATGACATTTTACTGTTGTGCATAATATTTTTGACAAGCTGTGAAGGCAATGATACAAACCCAAAATGAAAAGGACAAACAACAAATGTTTCCATAAGCATAAATTGTATTGCGACGCAGATGGAGCTGAGACTACAAGCATTACATCTTCACAGGAGATGTTCAAAATCAATACAATCATTTTCCTATTGTCTGCCATAGTTAGTTTCTGTTGTGAGTTACCTGGCAGCCTGAAGCATCCTCGTTGCTGTGGTAACCTGTACTTTTATCATGCACACTGATTTAAAATGGAGATTTTTTTTTTTCTTAAGCCATGGCTGAGGGTGTCATTTCCTATCTCGGTTCTGCCTCTTCAACCATGAGATTTACTCCTCAGCACATCTCCTCCTCTTATCTCCATAGCCTTTATGTAGAGTGCAAATGTACGCGTGCACAGACTCACTAAAACAGTACAGATCCAAAGGAGGTGAGAGGGTAAAAGAGTGTGTATTGACTCAAAGTTCTCCCATGCATTGATTACAGGCCTTATGAAAGCAGAGGATTTTAAGCTCTACTGCTGAGTCCTATTGACAGCCACAATCCCAGGCAACTAACCACTTATGCTTTGTGTAGGAAATTCTGCTTTGTAAATGTTGGCTCATCAAAAGAATGTCCATTAGAGGCCTGACAAATATGATTAAACTATTATTAACTGTAGCTTGATTGTTGTAGCAAAAAAGACTATTCACTTAAAGGTCTGGTCCTTGATTTTCCCATGTATTTGAGCAAAAGGTATCTTGCCTGAGTAGCGGTCTATCATGTAAGCAGCTTTTTAAGGTCCTATAGTACACAAAATTGATACTTGTGAGCCATGTTGTAATGCTGTTATTCCTTCAAAAACATACCTGAAGTTGTGTTTTGTTTCATTCACACATGTTTGAATAACGCTTTATTATTAGTGTATGTACATTTCCAAAGCTCAAAACACAGTTTAAAAACACAGTGGAGCACTTCCTGTATTACCAGATGACATCACAAGGTGGAACTGTTTGAGAACAGTCTGAGAGACTGAAAACACTCAGAATATGTATTAGGGTTGGGCAGCATCCAATTCTGATGCCGTTAAACCTTGTCAGGATTTTACCAGGGTATATCGTATTACCATATTACCAAAATGTTTTAGTACGACTTTGGTAAGATACGAAGCCGCACCACTATACAGTCTATGCTACGACCTGCAGACTTAAAATCTCTGAAAAGTTTCACATGAACCATCTCCATGCACAGGATAGAGTCACCGTCAGCCGCACATCTTCTGTCACAGAAAGAACACATATAGACAAGGAGGGTTTATTCGTATAGCACAATTCATACACAAAATAATTCAAAGTACTTTACAGAATAAGAAATATATTAAAATCACGATAAACACAAATCTAAACATAAATAATCATCATAAAATTAAAAAGAGAGAGACATATTAGAGACACATTAATTACACAAATTAGAGAGAAGAGAACCTTTCAGTCATATGCAGCAAAACAGAACTTTTTGAGCCTGGATTTAAACAGCGTCAAAGTAGAAGCCTGTCTCACATCTTCAGGAAGAGGTTCCAGGTTTTAGCTGCATGAATCTGAAATTCCACTGAGTCGTGTCCTTTAGTCCGACAGAAGCTGAACTGCACATAAGGAAAGAGTTGTTTTTATCAGCACTTTCTAGTTTATGCAAATGAGTCATGTGGTTTTAAGTTTCATTTCTGTAAAACGTAAACAAATGCGCACCTGAAGCTAAAATGCTGCCAAATTGCAGAAGTACTAGTATTATTTTGGGGGGGACCAACTTACTTGTGGCTGGACTTGCTGTCTTGTGTTGGTCTCCCTTATGAGCGTCACTTGACAACTGAACGAAACTAATTAAACGTCATCTCCCCACTCAGTTAAAAAAAAACATTATAGACTACTATTATTTTTAAATCGTGATAGAATTAAATTGAAAATACAACCACACTTTCATTTGTGCTGTGCAAACAAATTTAGGTATCAATAAATTATAATATATTAGGCACTGCTGATTTTTTTTTATGATGATAATGAAACTGATACCATTGCTAGTTTTTGATATTGCGGGATAATGCCGTATTACCACCCAACTCTGATATGTGTGAATGAAACAAAACTCCTCGTATGTTTTTGATGAGGAAACAACATTATAACATAGATCAGTAAATAGCATAATGTAGGCTATTTAAAGTAAAAATAAGTCAGTCTCTAAGTGAGCATCTAATTAGTTGTTGTTAGCTTTATCACCATGGAAAAGCTCTTCGAGAGTTATGAAAAATGCTTAGAGACTCATTGTAGTGTAATAATTAGGGTGCTCAGGAAGCATAAGGTAAGACAGAATATCTTTGGACCACTGCAAACAGCTAAAAATGAGCAAGTTCTGTTTAATTAATAAATGTGATAATTCAGGTCACAACACAGACCTTATTCAGAGAGTTGCTGCTATTATTATTCTAACTACATGGTGCCGCATAAGGCTGCCAAACTCTGCTAAATAAGTTGTATAGAGACAAAGCTGGTTTCAAGCTTCCCAGAGAATGGTGCTTTGTTGAATTGTTGGTGTGCGTAAACATTGAACATTTTACACAAACCAACCTACTTTACGTAATGCTGTTTTTGCTGCGAGACTTTTCTCTAGTTCTCAGCTGAAATAAATTCAATTCCCCCTTAACTGGAGAAGTGAACCACAAAAGAAATGTGATTGTAGCAGTCAAATTAAAAGTGGGCTGTTTGGAATGAGGTGGATAGTTGTAAGACCTAAAAAAATAATCATTGCCTCGTCATTTTGGTACAAATGAAATCCGTTTACTGCGATGTCAGCTCCCTGTCAGTAGACTTTTTGTTTCGTTTTAGATAAATATTGTGATTTAAAATGCTTAAATTATGACATTATGATCCACGGGAGTCATAGATTATAGCAGATACAATCACAGTAGACCTTCTTTAATATATTTACATGACCAGGAAAAATCAAATAACAAGAGTAATCCGATAAACCAATAATTAGAGCTGACTGGTGTGCGTTTACATGCCCAAGAGAAATCAGATTTCCTGGTGACATGTCAGGAAATCAATGGACTTTTAGAGTAACTGCTGTATTTAGAAAACAAACTACTAATGAATTTTAAAAAACTTGTTTCTACCCTTAACATTTTTTTTTAATTTTTTGTCTTTGCCACTTAAAAAATTTACCCTTTTTGCATACATTTCCATGTCAGTGTGTGAACAATCGGAAAGAAATCAGATTACATCACATCTAATTGTTTACATGACATTTCAATAATCTGATAACTCCAGAAATCAGATCATGATCAGATTTTGGTGTGCATGTAAACATAGCCAGCGTGACAATGCTGCTGATTAGCGTACACGTGGTAATGATTTGTATCCATGTTTTTCTCCACAGAGCTCCATGTATTCACTGGCCTTGAAGTGTTTGATCAGCCTGTCCACTGTCATCCTCCTGGGACTCATAATCGCCTACCACGCTCGAGAAGTTCAGGTAAGGCACTCACGCAAAAAAAAAAAAAAAAAAACAGATCTGAGCATATTTGTAAGCTCTGTTGTTTTTACCGAACAAGTTCTGTCCTGTTGTGCTGTCAAAACTTTGCAATTTAATAAATAGTCACTGCATTTCATTAGGTTCTGACCGTAAAAATATAGTGGACCTATATATAAAGTTCCTGTTATGATTTATTACAAAATTAATCTGAGTTATTTTTTGGCTTTGAATCAAAACATAAAGCAAAGGCAAAATTGTAGCTAGAGGCTGTCCCTTGGCTGTATTCATGGATTTCAGAGTGATGTAAATATTGCATTGTTGCCACAGAAATTACCAATTCAAATCAATGAATGATGAATAGCGAAAAGTCCTCAAAATGTCCCTTAATCAGGAAACTGAAACTAGGGATTTAATAATAACTGAAATATCAAGTCTCTGCTTAAATGAATAGTGCAGTAATAGCTAAAAAAACAGAGGGAACTACATGGACCATGATCCTTTGCTTTGTTTCAGTGCAGATTACATGAAGAAATAACTGTTCTAAGCACTTTTACATCTTATTTTTTTCACTTATGTCTTATCAATGCTTTTAAAATAAACTAAACTAACTAAAATCAATGAATAGTAAGATCCAACATGATATGAGATATGAAAGATTAGGCAGGGAGATGTAATTTTTTTGTTGTTGTTTGTAGACTTTATTGATCCCAGTAGGTAGATCTGTCCTCTGCATTTGACCCATCCTTCACCCAGTGCAGAAGAGGCAACCAATCAGTAGCAGTGGACAAGTTCAGTGCTGCACTTAGGGACACTTGAGTAGGCCTGTCACAGTAACACTTTTTGAAGCACAGGATGTTGCTACTGAGAAACTTTGCAATAAATGGTATTGAAACTACTTTATGCCACTGTCACAAAGCAAGATAATGCCAGTAAAACAACTTTTAGCTCTATCATCAAAAGACATAAGCTGCAACAAATGGTAGAAGGAAGTAGCAGAAGGAACCAATAATTAGCCATAGAAATTATTTATTTATTCTACCCCCTACACCTTAAAAATGGCAAAAATCTACCTACTGTTTCAAATAAATTGTACACACAATGATAAATGGTCACATTTTTCTATAGCGCTTTTCCACCTTCAAGGCACTCAAAGCGCTTTACAACAAGGAGCCATTCACCCATTCACACACACATTCACACACCAGTGTACGCAGACACTGTGGGCAAGGTGGGTTAAGTGTCTTGCCCAAGGACACAACGACAGCATTCATCTGTGGGAGCTGGAATCACACCAGCCAACCTGTGGGTTAGTGGATCTGACCGCTCAACTTATGATGTTTATGTTGAGAGCTGGAATCAAACCGCCAACCTTTAGATCAGTGGGCGAATGCTCTACCAACTGAGCTACTGCTGCCCCAATGAATATTGATCTTAAAAATATATTGCTCCAGCTTTCATATATTGAACAATAAGTCCATATAGTTATTATCATTGACAGACCGACCTTTGAGCCAGGATCTTCCAATTTAGAGTGTATTATTTAGTATTTTACCAATTCAACAACAATAGTACAGTAGTAGTATTAACTTGTTCTATGTTTTGTTGTTTTCAGAAAGTTCTAGCAGCACTGTTGGCTCAAATAAAATCATGTGTAAATATTGCTGTGGGCACACACTTATGACGTCATACACGAGGACTGACAAATATGATGACTGTTTCTATGGTGAAATTTACCCGAAGCAACGACTGTAAAGATGTTCCTGTAACGTCAGCATCACAGGCCCATCAGGCACATGGCACTGGAAGGTCACATCAGATATTAACTCCATCAACACTGGTTACGTATGCAGGGACTTGCCAAAGGGCTCAGAGAACAGAACATTTTCCAGAAAATGTACTCAAAATGTAATTTGAATTTATAAGAATATCAGGCTTATGGCTTGGCCATTCTCGTAATGCAAGACTATACTGATTGTTCTTGTCCTGTTTCATAATAATTTAACTTTTATTTCTACATAGTGGGCTCATCTTTGCTTGAAGATCAAATTATAAATACATTTTAATCAATTTTTAAGGAAAATATTTGCTTTCTTCTTTGGATAGGTTTCAGTTTATATCATCTTGCGGTCATCCTATTTCGGTCCCAGTATGAACCCAGTTTAGTCCTGATGTAGACTTGGTTTGGTCCTGTTATAGTCCCGGTTTAGTCCAGCTTGAGTTCTTGGTTTAGTCCCAGTTTAGACCCAAGGTTAACTTTGTAATTTTTCTAGCTGAGGGTTTGCCACCCACTTGTCACCCTAGAAATGGTATTGCTTTGCTCAGAATGTTCCACAGTATTTAGTAGTAGTAGTAGTAGTAGTTTTTTGTTCGGTCATTTTGCAGCACTACCAACACAAAACAACACATAGACTACAAACCCATGGATCATGACTGAAAGGTTTTAGGCTAAAGTAAAACATTCTTATAATGCCAAACCCTATTAAACAATGACAGAATTCCAAGAAAGAAAGGCATCGTATGAACAGTAAGTTTCCTTTTACAATTTCACTTACTGTATATATAAAAGACAAAATATAAATTAAAACAAACAAATTTAATGCATAATTCATTAATTCCAGAGCTCTATATCTTTCAAAACATAATGCTTTATACTCTTTAAAATCATCTCAGATTGTTCCATATACTAACCCTTCTAACAGAAATACATTCTTAATTTCACTTTTTTAAAGATGCCAGTTTTATTTTATTTTATGGTGCACAAACCAATAACAATGACAAAGAAAGTACAAAAGTTATTGTCCACAATGGCACCAAAACAAAAAGCAATGTCAAAGAAAAGCATGTGCCAGCCAATAGTCGTAGTTTACTTGTGAAGAAAATATATCTAGTTTTCTAGGTATTTCTGTAAGATTAGATTTTTAAATTGTTTTTTGAAGTGCACCAAGTTAATAGAAGCTTTGATATGGTAATCTAAGTATTAATTAATTGAGACACCCCAACCTCAACGATGATATCTCCATGACAAGACAAGTGGACCAGAAAATGTACACAGTGCTCCTTTAAATTCTTTACTGTATGAGTATTGTTATCAGAACTGAAAAGGTTGTATTGATGCATCTGCAACTGTGCACTTTATTTATTCTGTCTCTACTGTGTGTAAAAGCCTGAAAACATTTCCTGTGGCGAGTCTTTACATAGGCCCATGAACCCAGGTGCAATCTAACTCCAACCAATTAATAGCATTAATGAGGGCCTAACCAGGACAGACAAGGCACGTGGGCTTTACATTGAGTAGTTACACTCCACAAGTTAGACACACACACACACACACACACATAACATCAATACGTCAACACACAGAGCTTCTTGTCCAGCTCCACCAATCAATCAGAAATGCTTTCACTCCTCATGATATCTGTTTTGCAGTTTGTCATCACATTGATATAACGCTACCATGGTTGTTTAGATGAGGTTTCCGTCTGTGGCCATTTACAATCGATGTGCATTGACTATTTATGGGAGCCTTGCACCCTATGAATGCCCCCATACTGACTATTACCAACCCTCGCTCCCCTCCCGCCCTCCGCTTCCATTCTGTATTAGTTCAATGTTGTGGCTTTTCTCATTACATCACATGGTAGCGCTTTGATGTTGGAAATGTCTATTAAAGCTTTAGCCTTGGCTGTGAGCAGGGGATTGTACGTACAGCCAGAGTCGGATCAATAGGGAGCTGCAGTCGCTTATTCTTTGTCACACAGGAGCCAATAAGCAGGTATTAATTCTGTAATATGTGGTAGCAGTGCATTACCATAAAGCAATTGACTTGATATTGAGAGCTCAGGACCTTAACGGTGTACAGGTGACATTTTGAAAAATAAAGGGCATTCGTTGATTAAAGATTTACTTAAAAACCCAAAAGGTACAGCAGGTTACACTTGTTTACCCATTATTACACCCTTTAGACTTTGCATTATTGACACGTGAATTGATTACAGTAGCAGATCTGTTCACACTGGCACTTGTTACTGGGTGGGATATTCTATGTGCTTTTGAGGGGGTTGGCAAAGGAGAAATTCAATTTGTCAACTGGACAAAAACATTTCGCTGGTGGACACTTCCTTATATCTGCCTGCAGGGAGGAGCCAACTACACTGAAACTACTCTGAAACTTACACATTTGTTTTCAGTGTCTGTTTGTTATCTAGGCCTATTCATCTGTACTGAGTGTGGGGTCATCTTAGCATAATCATTCAGGGCCATAAAGTGTGTTTTCACTCCTCTGGCCCTGACCTGGCTTTCCCTATTGTTCTCCTTATTTTAGTTTTGAGGATGGAGTTGTAGATGGGAGACGAATGATCTCTGAGGCTTCCATTTCTCTTCAAGGAAGGATTGTCTTTCTTAACAAAAAACAAAAATAGCATTTTTAACTCCCCTCTCAAACCAATTCTTTTCTCTTTTGAGGGAGGTTTTCTGAAGTCAGCTTAGACCAAACTGTTGTGTCATTGTGCAAGACATTCCCCTTAACTATGCATGAATGGGATGTGTAAGTGATTGGTAATAGAGATGCATCAGTCCAGCTTTTTCAGCTCAGATTTTTTCTCCCTTTGTTTGAGCAAAACTTGTCTTGCACAGATAGTATATTGTATAAGCAGCTCTTACCATCAGAATATGTCTGCTGAGTTCTGTCTGCAGTTAATTAAAAGCGTTTTACTGTTGATAATCAGGAAGTGTGCTTTAACATGCTAGTTGTTGTCAGCTTTACTGTCACACAAACTCCGCCAAGGTCTCTGAAAGTTGTGAAAAGAGCTTATAAACTCATCTTGGTGAATTATGCTTTTATGTGTAATGTAAGTGAGGAATAACTTGGGACCACTGCAAACCATTTAAAATGACACTTCTGTTTTTTTAGGCTGTAAAAATCTGAGTTAATTTTCCAGGACCAGAGCTGATATTCAATGCCAGTATTGATATGATGCATTCCTAATTAGCGGTCAACAGAA